CCTGTTGAGGTCTTACAGTTTTTTCATGCCGTTGGGGTCTTACAGGACCGAGTTTGCCCGCTCGGGGTCTTATGGCCTCATGTTTTGATGAGTCAACAGAGATGACGCTTTGACGGCAGTCCCCGAGTCGTCAAGAGTTTCTTTGACTCGGGAGCCATTTTTCGTAAACTTTTCATTGCTTCGTCGGGGATTTACGATTTTGGAGATCCCGACCCTGGGGTCGTGCGCCTTTCTTTTGAGATTTTGATGCCAGTCCCCGATTACTTGAGATTTTTTTGGTGTTGGAGATGTTCAACGCTCTCTGCGTTGCCCTTACCTGAGGGCTTATGATTTTGGAGTCCCGACCCGGGGGTCATTTTAAGTGTTGACTTTTTGACACCAGTCCCCGAGTATTCGAGACGTTTCCGAAGGAGGAATTGTTTTTGCGAAGGCGCTGAGTCTTATTTTGGAGCGCAAGATGCCTTGATAGAATATGCCCTTCGATTTATCTGATACAAGTGTACATGTATTCGCCGTCGAGGGCCCGGCTATATGGACACGGTTCTTTTGACCGTTTGACCCGGTACATTAATTTCCTATAGGGACCCCGTTCGGTGTTTTCTTGGTTTTTTTGAGCGGGTAGCTTCTGGGGGGATTCCCCTCAGTGAAAGAAACCTCGAACATTTGTTGAGTTTCCCTTAGGTAGCATGCAGATGTTGCCTCGTTAAAACCTTGCCGGTAAAAACACTTTTTCGGGATAAAAACTAGGTCGAAGGAAAAAAGTGCAACGGATGCTTTAAAAGCTTAAGGTCTTCGAGCTGGGTTAGCGTTCTGACCGCTTCGATTGGGCGCTTGCATGAAGGTTAGTCTAAAATACGGAATTAAAAAGGAGATGGTCATACCTTGATGTGAGATTCGCCGGCGATGTTTCGAGAATCGATATGTTTCAATCACTCGAGATGAGGACGCAGTACGATCCTTTATTTTGTTTAATCGGGCTTGATCAATGGTGTGGCTCGATGGCTTTATTGCTCCTTTGCGGGCAGGGGTGCGAGCAGGGGTGCCACATCTTGCATTGCAAACATTTCCCTTGCCGCATGTTGTTCCCCATACACGGTTTTAATTTCGTCTTTTGTCAGGAATTTCATCATTTGGTGAAGGGTGGATGGTACCGCTCTCATACAGTGTATCCACAGCTGTCTAAATAAGGCGTTATACCTCATGTCTCTGTCGATGACATGGAATTTGGCGTTTTGGGTTGTGCCGGCCACGGTGACTGGGAGAAGGATTTCTTCTTTCGTTGTTTCGCTTGCCATGTTGAATCCGTTGAGGACTCGAGTGGCGGGCACGATTTGATCGAGCAGTCCGAGCTGCTCTATCACCCTCGACCTAATGATGTTGGCCAAGCTACCTAGATCCATGAGTACACGTTTTATTTGAAAAGAATTTACAAGGAAAGAAATTACCAGTGCGTCGTTGTGAGGTTGAGACAAGGTCTCAATGCATTTTTCGCTAAACGTGAGGGCGTCCTCGGGGATATATCCCCGGGTCCACTTTTCTCTGGTAATGGATATTTTGTCCTTCTCATTACGGGTTCCTGTGGGGCATCGACGCCTCCTATGATCATGTGGATGACGTGTTGTGGCTCGTTTGCCTCGTTCTTCTTGGTCGCTTCCCTTTGCCGGAACTGATTTTTGGCTCTATCACTAAGGAATTCCCAGAGATGCCCTTTATTGAGTAGTCTAGCTACCTCATCTCGTAGTTGGTGGCAATCCTCGGTCCTGTGGCCGTGCATGTTGTGGAACTCGCACACTAAGTTGTAATTCCTTTGCGAAGGATCCGACTGTATAGGCTTGGGCCACTTGGCGTCTCTGATTTTACTGATGGCGAACATGATGTCCGACACATCGACGTTGAAGTTGTATTCTGACAAGTGGGGCGCACCCGTCGGCACCACGTTCCTATCTAATCTGGCTCTGTTGATGAGCCCTTGAGGATCCTGTCCGCGATCTACTCTCCGATCATTGTGAGGTAGGTTGCGCCTCGGGGCATTCCTCCTATCTTCGATGTATGACTGATACCTTTCTTTGTTAGGTTTTTGTTCCTTTACTAGGAGCCTATTCGGATATACTGAGTCCGAAGGGGCTCCCAACTGGTCATCCTCGACACTGATCTTCGACTGGTACCGGTTGTGGATGTTTGACCAGGTCACAACTAGGTACTCAATTAGATTCTATTTCAGCTATTTTGAAGCCACCGAGCTTTGTTCGTTCAGACCTTGAGTGAGGGCCTGCACTGCCCAGTCGTTGGAGACTGGAGGTATCTCCATCCGTTCCATCTAAAAGCGAGACACGAATTCCCGCAGCATCTCGTTCTCCCTTTGCTTGATTTTGAAAACGTCAGACTTCCTCGTCGCTACTTTGATGGCACCGGCATGTGCCTTTACAAATGATTCTACCAGCATGGCAAATGAATCTATGGAGTTAGGAGCCAAGTTGTGATATCACATCATGGCCCCCTTTGAGAGTGTTTCCCCGAATTTTTTCCGTAATACGGACTCAATCTCGTCATTCTTTATATCGTTGCCCTTTGTACTTAGGGAGTTACGGCATTCTGAACTTCTTCGGAATAGGTTTCGGGGCTGCCTCTTCGGGGAAAGGCCTGTGCATGAACTTCTTTGAATCCATACCATTGAGGACTGGGGGTGTGCCCGGGATCTGGTCGACCATGGAGTTGTAGGTCTCGACCTTCTTGTCGTTGGCTGCTATCATTTTCTCGCCCGATTCGATCCTTTTGGTGAGATCCTCGAGCATTTTTACGATGGTAGGGTCGACTATCGATCCGTTATTGCTCGATCTCTCAGGTACTTGTTCGGCTGGGGAGCTGTCCCCGGTGCTACCGTACTGGGAGTCTTGGGTAGCTTTGTAGTTGAGCGACATCCAGCTGTTTTGCCCGCAACATTTTGAAAATAACATGAAGGCTAACTTCCCGTTCTTCCCGAGTTGGGGTTCTTTGGGCTTCCTGTTGGTCGTCATGCTATATGCTCCTGTCAGTGTGTGTGGTTTCGTCGACTTGTTGTGCGTCTTGCGAACCCGCGTCCGCTGGAATTGGTCCAGGCGCATTGTCGGTGTTTTGTGGCGGTGCACCAATAATTGGAACAACCACACCGTTTTCTCCGTGGTCTTCAAAGTTGTTGTTCTCAACTCTGTTTACTGAGCCAGACATTTTAACCTGAAATCGAAGATCTTGGACAAGAAAAAGTGTGAAAGATAACTTGCGTTGTGAAATGAAACCAACAAGAAAATAATCACTATTATTTTTAGCCCCACGGTGGGCGCCAAACTATTTACCGTGAAAATGGTAATAACAATTAAATTTGTTGATGAGACTCTAAAAATACGTGATCTATTTTTATGCTAGTTGTTAGAGCAATTGATGCTAGATGTGTGTAGCTTAACGATGAAATACGAACTAAAACAGGGTTATAATCAAACCGAGGAGCTAGCTGTCCGGGCCTCGGGCTAACCGATGAAGGGCCTTGAGGTCGATACCTGGGCTCAAGGTCGAGCTATCGGGGTAACCGGGAAGGGACTAACAATTAGGATATAATTAAAAGAAGGCTCTTTATAGCCGTTATCAAGCAATGAATGAAGAACAAGTATGAAAGCAATAAATGAAAGAGGTGGTCTCGAGCGAGTAAGTTAGAGAGAAAAGAGAGAGAGAGAGAGAGAGTTGTTAGTGATCTTGTGTAGGATAGTTGGAGCAACTTGCTTACAGAGTGCCAATGATTCCCCTTTTATAAGAGGGGGAATCCAAACTTAGTACAAGATATATTAAATGATAAAGGAAGCAAGATGGGACAACTAGCTAGCTTCATGATGTAGGTGTAGACCAGCGTTAGACTGCCCTGGCAGGCTTAACCGGTCCCGGATGCATTTTTCGGAAGCCTCCCATGCTCATCGGGGTCTCGGCCAACATTGTCCCCAGGCCGGGTGTCGACAGTTCTTGAAGGAAGTACCCAACCCGAGGTCTTGAGCCTCCGAGGCAATATCCTGAAGTACTTTATCAACAAGAAATTGGTCCCCTCGATTTCGCCGTACACAGTTCCAATATAATATACCGGTCCAGCATAATATGCTGGAAGTTATACACATGTGCTCCAATCTCCAGTATATTATGCTGGAACTTTCCGCGTATTGGAATTCCAACATAATATGCTGGAAGTTCATACACAGGTGCACCGATTTCCAGTATATTATGCTGGAATTTTCTGTGTTGCAGCAAAATAGTGGCTATTTTTCAATGACTTTGCAAACGCTGGCTATTTTCGAATGACCAGTCCAAAAACTGGCTAGCCCGTGCTATTTTTACCCAGAAAATCCCAACCCAGCCCCACAGCCCACTAACCAACCCGACACCATAACTGGACAGGCTATTTTTTTCTCATCCAGCCCGTCTGGTAAACTCAAATTTCCGATGTATATATACGGTATTTCTGTGTATCACGAGAAGTATTACATGCAACTGAAGATGTTTGTTGCTAAGCAATAAGCATAGTAGTATGATGAGAAGTTTTCCCAACACATGTAAGTTGATTCACAAATCTTTTCCCTTCCCTGATAAATAGAAAAAAAATTTATAAAAACTTCTTAACGTTAAAATGTTTAGGCCTATCAGTTTCGCAAATATAAATTTAGTGCTGAAGCTCAGCGTCTTACAATTCTGGCACCTAAATCAACCTAGTCATTTGAGAAAATAATCCATAGTCATGGTAATTTTTTAGTACAAGCCAATAATTATTTATGTATGTAAGATTTCATAAATTATCTAGGTCCAAAACAAGGATTTACCTACTTTTCTTTTTAGACTGGCTCGTACTTCCAACTTGAACATTAAAACCACCTAACAAAGGCACGGCTTGCACAATAGCTTTTGGAACTCAACTCAGGCAAGTGGATAATTTTCAGATTTTACTTATTGCCATCATTGGCCTGAAAAATTTAAGATAAGAGGACTAAAAAGGAAAATAAAATGCTTGACTCTCCGTTCACCATCAACTGGCTAAGAAAAGCGGATTTCTACAAGAAGTTTTGCCATTATATTCAAAATGATAGTGAACAAATATGTTCTTTCTGTTGGCTGGAAAAAAAGGAAGTTGGTTTATTCACACAGCTATATTTGGATCAACTGTTCCGCTGACATTTCCCTCGCCTGTTAGAACGTGATCCGGATCCTGCACATACAGAAGAGTGCCTTTGCGATGCTGCTACACATGAATTATAAAGCAAATGAAACCAGTCTAGTACTTACCTCCATTCCCCACTGGATGTAATCAGGGGACTCACAGGCTTTGTACTCATCAACAAGACTATCAATCACATCTCTAGATTCATCAAATTCTGATAGATCATTATCCTGTCAAATTACCAATTTTGTACAGACTATAATAGTTAGGGGAATTAGAAAAATATCTGTTTATAATCCTACCAACAAAAGTTTTTCAAATGACATTTGTTCCCGCAATAAGAGATAATTCTATCTTACGATGTACTTGGTTAGTTATAGAATATCATCGCTGAATATTCTTCCATTTGGTCTTAATCACTTTACATGTAGCCTCACTTATAAACATAGCAATTATTGTTGTAAACTGATTTCAAACACGTATTTTGATCCAGAATACTCTGGGTTTGAGCTTAGATTTTGTGGAAATGACTAAGCAGAATGAGGTTTGTCCAGTTCAGTTTACCCAGTATTCTCGTCTACTCAAGCAGACAGTTGAGATGTAAAAACATAACTCAAACCATGCACCATCTAATCTCTTTCCTGGGTAGGTTACATCTGAAAGGCAGAGCTGAGGACTTACAGCAAACATTGGATAATTCCTGTAGTTGTCAAGGAAGGCTTGTCTCTTTCTCAATTTATCATACTGGCTCAAACACTTGGAAAATAAGTGGCGGATCCCCGTGTAGCTTGCCAGCATGAGACCACTAACCTGACCAATTGAAGCAGCACATAATAATAAATTATACACCAAATTTTTTGAAGAATATACTATAGATGCAGCATCACATGATTCAGATTTCTCCAATACGGACAAGAAAACAAACATTAAACTGAAAAGTTCCTAATGGATAGACTATTTTGAGAAACAAGATTACAGAAGAATGTGGAACCAAGATAAGCAAACCGATGGTACTCAGCCTGCCTCAGCTGATATTTTGTAATTCTCAAATCAGCTACTCATTCAAATATATTTGCCAATAACAAGACATAGACGTTAATCTCCAAAAGGTAGATGCTTGAGCTTAAGAAGCTTTTGGTCCACGCCCTTCAAACATGAGTAAATTACATTTTCAAAAACTTCTTACAAATGTTCAATTGTTCACCTTTTCAAAAGCTTCTTACAAATGTTCACCTCTTCAAAAACTTCTTATAAATTTTCACCTTTTCGAAGTTCAAGTTAAAAACCTTGCAGAACTTTTTGCTGCAGCAACAATATCTAGTGGATAAGCATCAGTTTCAAGCTTTGGTTTTACATACTGAGCCTATTTAATCTCAGTGAGTTATTTAAGAATTTCCCATGTAGCACAACTAACAAAGAAGCCTTGAAGAGAAAAGAAAAGAACATGTATTTTAAAAGTAAATCTCACCCTATGAGCTGTTTGGACGTATGGAGACTTTCTTGATAAAGCAACCTGCAAAGAATGTAGGGGTAAGAAAAATATAACAGAAATAGCATAAGCTGTGCGCTTATTATGGCAATTCAAGAAACAAAAAACAAAAAAAAACACACACACACACACACACAAAACACATGCCTGAATGCTAGCAGGGCCCCATTCAATAAAATTAACAAGCTTTCTTTCCCGTATTCTCTGCAGGCTTTCGTGGACCTGATTTCAGAAATATCAAATGAGTAAAAAAGCAGCTGATGTAAGATCTTTTTTGCTGAATGAGACCATATTTGCATTTATGTACTCATATAGTCTGTTAGTGTGTACCACAGGCTCAACAAAGTTGGAAGATACCCAAAAGATTATCATTGGGTATGTTAGCAATCAAAATAGCTTTCTGCCAAATTGAAATGCCTCAACCAGTTCTTAGCACTCAAAGCAATTTGTTTAAACTATTGGCAACTTTTATTGCAGCAGCAATGAAGCAGCAAAGGGAAAAAAGGAAATACAGTACAAAAGCTGTTAAGCTATTTTCAAGAATACCTGAGTAGGATCAACTTCTCCTTGAATAATGTTTAATATGGATATGTACTTTGCCTGACTGGCTTCCTTCGTTCGCGTATAAGAAGATACCATGATATTCTTGGACTGCAAAGTGAAACATTTTTGAGTTATTGGGCGTATCTGAACACACTTCCTACTTAACAATCTAAAGGAAAGTTTTACTGACCGAAAGGAGTCTTCTCATCACATCAAGTACAGTTGTTTTCCGAATTACATTAGCCTGTAAAAAGATTATCAGCACTTTGCATTAATTCACATTTCCTGTTTTCTTTTATTATATGAAACAAATGAAGTGGGCACCATTTCCTTTACAGGCTACATTTGCTCCTCCAATAAGTTTTCAATATAGAGCATAAATCCAGGATGATAAAATCATAACTAGAAAATTAAATCGAAAGAGATCATTACTAAAATGAGGTCCCACTGCAATAGGATTCTAGAAAATAACAAGACCTAAAAACTGTGGAAGAACCAAAAAGAGTAGGATGACTTGAACAAGTTTATCCAGTAACCTTACAGTGGCAATGGAATAGAGTATATCCAGGATAAGTAGCACTTCTTAATGAGTTGACAGATATGATTTCACAATATGTTACAAATGCTAACAAGTTATCGGACAGGATTTACATGTAAACAGTACTTCTAAAACAAGTTAACAGATAGGATTTGGGATTTAATCCCTTAGTATCAGACATCAAACCTCACTAAAGTTCCTCCTATTTTTTTTTTCAAGTGATAGTTTTAGTATAATAACTCTAGCATGAAAATATAATTACTCCCGCATTAAATATGTCATAAATAATCAGCTGACGGACAGCATGTCCATTGGCATTGGTTACTTAAGTCCATATTGGAATTGTTCTTCTTTCTCGAGAATAAACCAAGCCCAGTTACTAAAAGAGCTTGTTCAAAGTATAATAATCAGCAACGACCAACAACTTATATTTTCAATGCAACGTCAGCGAAACGTTACCACTTGATGAAATAGAAAGCTTACTTGGCACTCTACAGTGAGCGGTGTATACCCTGTCATCAGAAAATGGCATCTTGGTGTTGGAATTAAAGAGGCAAGGAGACCAACCAAGTCATTGTTCATGTATCCAGGATACCGTAGGGTAGTTGTACTAGCTGACATTACAGTAGAAACTAATGAATTTGTTTGAGCAAAGGTGGGAGTTGGAATATGCAGGCGATCCACAGCAATTCCGTTGAGTGCAGTATTGTCAAGGACAACTACACAATCTGCATTTAATGTCAGTCGCTTGAGTGTCAAAAGGGAATTGTAAGGCTGTACAACCACATCACTTGTCTCATTTTGGTTAGGAAACACACTGTATGTCTGAATAAGTTTTCTGCTGTAGCGATCATTCAGAGCCTCCAACAGATACGAGCCCATACCTGCACTAAATACAGTCATTAGACAAACAAATAATTAGATATTCACACAACTTCTTACAGTTGGTCTCAGCAACCACTCATTTTTCGAACATTATCACATTTTTCACCAACTCAACAAAAAGAATCAACCTGAGCCAGTTCCACCAGCAATAGAATGACATAGAACAAAACCCTCAAGACTATCACTTCCATCTGCTTCCCTATCAATCATGTCCATCAGATCCTCCTCATATTGCTTACCCTGATCAAACGAACGATTGTAACAAAACATTTAGAAACAACTATTCCAGGTCTTTTAGATCCAACTCTAAGAGTAAGGTGTAGTTGTTGTTGATCCAGATCTTTTAGATGTAGGATAAAAGAAAGTTAATGCAAGCTTGATATCCAAAAACAATAACTGCATCGAACAATTTCTTGCATTAATTAGTGTACATCCCATTAAATGCATATATTGACTAATTCATACCCAAATACAGCAATAGGTAAAGTAGACACTTTATTGCAATTTTCAGGTCTAAAAGACTTTAGGAGACATGAAGAACTTCAAGAACATTTGCCGAACAGAGGTTTCTGGACACTAGAAGTACAGAACAAAAGAAGTATGCTGAACTAGCAGAGAATGCGGAGCAGATTCTGAAGGTGGACAGAGAAAGAGGTCGATGACATCTACTGGTGTCTTCAATCAAACTAACACACGATATCCAATTGAAAAATGTGAAGGCAGCGACATAAATGCATGTTCTTTTTTTGCCAAATAACTCCTTTTTCCGCACATGCCATGTCTTAGATTTGGAAAGTAATGTGCTCACTACCAAACTTATTAAGAAAAAAATGAGCTAGCATGAGCGTGCATATTTATTTTGATAACGTAATACATGTGGTGTGTGTGAACAAAACAATAACTATCCAAATGAAGTAACCTGATGATATCCGCTTGCCCAATTATTTCCAGCACCACCTCCGTGATCAGCGATGAATACATTCTCGTGGTTATACAAATTTTTGTACTCCCCATTTTGTATACTATTAATGACTCTAGGCTCTAGATCCATCAGCAAAGCTCGAGGTATATAGTGTTGGTCATCAGCTTGATAGAAAAAGACATCTTTCCTATCACCTCCCTGAAGCAGTTGAAAGATAGAGAATAAGCACCTTGAACCAATCTCAAACTTGTCTCTGTATGGCAGGAAGCTATCAATTTATTCATACATCACTTTTCCTCCCTTCAAGATTAGGTGCTTATTTTCAGCCGTTAAAATGAAAATCTGGTTATTCATGCAAAATAAGAGACTGTATAAAAATGTGAATAGAAGGATGTAATCATAGACAAGCAAATAACAATATAAAAGAGAATTTAAAACATTAAAAGATCTTTTCTGAGTAGATGAGGGCAGTAAATCCACACACCATACACAATACACATAGAAGTGTTGCACCTTTGAATGTGAGTGTATATACACTATATCGACATCCTTGGCTATGGAGGAGCATTAGTTAGCATATTAGGGAAACAAAAAAGAGATAGTGTATACATAGATATTCACCAATGCGCACAAATAAATGGAGATAGACCCTATTCAAAACTTCTTTTATGCTATTTTAGCATTTAGTTGGTCCAACGCTTTTGATTCTTAGGAAACACCGCTTCTATTATCTACAGACATGCAGCACACAACACAAATTTCTAGTAACCGATCCTCACAAAACTCACTTATGAGCAAAGCAATAGCCGCTCAAAACCCGGATATGGGAGGATCGTGTTAGAGATAGCTATGTAAATGTTAGAGATAGCTATGTAATTGTCCCACATTGGAATAGGAGTAGTATCCCCTTTGTATAGAGTAGCTATAAATAACACCTCTTGTATTGCATCACACACAATATCAATATATCATATTTTCTCCCGTGTCTTCTCACATGGTATCAGAGCTATCGTGAGAGATTTATCGCTGTGCATAAATTCCAGCGATTCCGGGAAGTAAAATCAGTCACCGGAACCCTTTTTTTCCGGCGACTTTCAAAGTTGTTTTGCGTCTGCTTTGTCTCGGTCAGTGTTGTGCACAAAATCCAACACTACCACAAGAGTAGTCACTGTCCGGCGACCAAATCCCAGTGAAAATCTCCGGCGGTACTGTAGCTGTCCAAAGAAAATTTTCCGGCGAAGTTCCAACATTGCGTGGGCCACCTTCCGGCCATTTTTTGGCGACGACTCTTCAGGACAGATTGTTTCCCTTGCAATTCCGAGCCTACCCATCCAGGTTACACCAAATTCCGACCACTTTTTTATTTTTCCGGCGTGAATAGTGATTTCAAAAAGTTGACTTCCGGCCATTTTTTGAAAAAGTTCCTTCAGAACAGTTGGGTCTTCTGGTAATTCCGATCCTACCCCTACTGTTTTTATTTCATTCCGACAACTTTGAAAATTTTCCGGCTGCAACAGTAACTTTCCAACTGCTACAGTAGTTTACTATTTTGGTTCAGTGTTCCTTACTCTATTTTCAGTGGATTACAGTTGATTGTTTCTCTTATTTGGTAATAATTTACAAGATGTCTTTGGGAATTGATGTTTTTGGGTCTAAAAGCATGAGTTCTGGAAACTCTAATGTTATGATTACCTCGGAACCTTTAATGGGAGGTTCAAACTACTTAGCTTGGGCTTCATCTGTCGAGTTGTGGTGTAAAGGTCAAGGTGTGCAAGATCATCTGATTAAACAGTCTAGCGAAGGAGATGAAAAGGCGATAGCGCTTTGGGCAAAAATTGATGCTCAATTATGTAGCATCTTGTGGCGTTCTATTGATTCTAAGTTGATGCCTTTGTTTCGGCCATTCCAGACATGTTATTTGGTTTGGGCAAAGGCTCGTACGTTATACACTAATGATATATCTCGCTTCTATGATGTGATATCACGGATGACAAACTTAAAGAAGCAAGAATTAGATATGTCTACTTACTTGGGTCAGGTACAGGCAGTCATGGAGGAATTTGAGACATTGATGTCAGTTTCTGCTAGTGTGTCAAAACAACAAGAGCAGCGACAGAAAATGTTTCTAGTTCTTACACTCGCTGGACTTCCTCATGATCTTGATTCAGTACGAGACCAGATTTTAGCGAGTCCGACTGTCCTTACAGTTGATGAATTATTCTCTCGATTACTTCGCCTTGCTGCAGCACCAAGTCACCCAGTGACTTCATCACAGATACTTGATTCCTCTGTTCTTGCATCCCAGACAGTGGATGTTCGGGCATCTTAAGCTATGGAGAATAGACGAGGAGGCGGTCGTTTTGGGAGATCTAGACCCAAGTGTTCTTATTTTCACAAACTTGGACACACTCGCGAAATGTGTTATTCCTTAAATGGCCGTCCACCCAAAAATGCCTACGTTGCTCAGAGCGAGACTACAGGTAACCAGGGCTTTTCTGTATCTAAAGAAGAATATAATGAGCTCCTTCAGTATCGAGCAAGTAAGCAAACATCTCCACAAGTAGCCTCAGTTGCCCAGACTGACACTCCTATTGCTGGTAATTCTTTTGCTTGTGTTTCCCAGTCTAGTACTCTTGGACCATGGGTCATGGACTCAGGCGCTTCTGATCATATCTCTGGTAATAAATCACTTTTGTCGAATATTGTATATTCACAGTCTCTTCCTACTGTTACTTAAGCCAATGGATGTCAAACTAAGGCACAAGGAGTTGGACAAGCCAACCCATTGTCTTCTATCACCCTAGATTCCGTTCTTTATGTTCCTGGTTGTCCTTTTAGTCTTGCATCTGTTAGTCGTTTGACTCGTGCCCTCAATTGTGGTATATATTTTATTGATGATTCTTTTATTATGCAGGACCGCAGTACGGGACGGACAATTGGTACAGGTCGTGAATCAGAAGGTCTTTACTACCTTAACTCGCTCAGTCCTTCCACAACATGTCTAGTTACAGATCCTCCAGATCTAATCCACAGACGTTTAGGACATCCGAGTTTATCCAAACTTCAAAAGATGGTGCCTAGTTTATCCAGTTTGTCTAGATTAGATTGTGAGTCGTGTCAGCTTGGGAAACATACCCGAGCTTCCTTTACGCGTAGTGTTGAGAGTCATGCAGAGTCTGTTTTCTCCTTGGTTCATTCTGATATATGGGGTCCTAGTAGAGTCAGTTCAACCTTGGGATTTCGTTATTTTGTTAGCTTTATTGATGATTACTCAAGATGTACTTGGCTTTTCTTAATGAAAGATCGTTCTGAGTTATTCTCTATATTCCAGAGTTTTTGTGCTGAAATCAAAAACCAATTTGGTGTCTCTATCCGCATTTTTCGCAGTGATAATGCCTTAGAATATGTATCTTCTCAGTTTCAGCAGTTTATGTCTTCTCATGGAATTATTCATCAGACATCTTGTCCTTATACCCCTCAGCAAAATGGGGTTGCAGAAAGAAAGAATAGGCACCTTATTGAGACTGCTCGCACACTTCTAATTGAGTCTCGTGTTCCGCTGCGTTTTTGGGGCGATGCAGTTCTCACAGCTTGTTATTTGATTAATAGGATGCCTTCATCTCCCATCAAGGGTCAGATTCCACATTCAATATTGTTTCCCCAGTCAGCCTTATACCCTCTTCCACCTCGGGTTTTTGTGAGCACATGTTTTGTTCATAACTTAGCCCAGGGGAAAGATAAGTTAGCTCCTCGTGCTCTCAAATGTGTCTTCCTTGGTTATTATCGTGTTCAGAAGGGATATCGTTGTTATTCACCTGATCTTCATAGGTACCTTATGTCAGCTGACNTTCAGGTATTGTTATTTCTCAATATGTGTTAGACATTCTTGAGGAAACAGGGATGACAGGTTATAGACCTGTTGACACGCCGATGGATCCGAATTCTAAACTTCTGCCTGGACAGGGGGAGCCGCTTAGCGATCCTGCAAGATATAGGCGGCTGGTTGGTAAATTAAATTATCTCACAGTGACTAGGCCCCACATTTCTTATCCTGTGAGTGTTGTAAGTCAGTTTATGAATTCTCCCTATGATAGTCATTGGGATGCAGTTGTCCGCATTATCCGGTATATAAAATCGGCTCCAGGTAAAGGATTACTGTTTGAGGATCGAGGTCATGAGCAGATTGTTGGGTACTCGGATGCTGATTGGGCAGGATCACCTTCTGATAGATGTTCTATGTCTGGATATTGTGTTTTAGTAGGAGGAAATTTGGTGTCCTGGAAAAGTAAGAAACAGAATGTAGTTGCTCGGTCTAGTGCAGAAGCAGAATACCGAGCAATGGCTATGGCAACATGTGAACTAGTCTGGACCAAACAATTGCTCAAGGAGTTGAAATTTGGTGAAATCAGTCGGATGGAACTTGTGTGCGATAATCAAGCTGCACTTCATATTGCATCAAATCCGGTGTTTCATGAGAGAACTAAACACATTGAGATTGATTGTCACTTCGTCAGAGAAAAGATACTCTCAGGAGATATTACTACGAAGTTTGTGAGATCGAATGATCAACTTGCAGATATTTTCACCAAGTCCCTCACTAGTCCTCGCATTGATTATATATGTAACAAGCTCGGTACATATGATTTATATGCTCCGGCTTGAGGGGGAGTGTTAGAGATAGCTATGTAAATGTTAGAGATAGCTATGTAATTGTCCCACATTGGAATAGGAGTAGTATCCCCTTTGTATAGAGTAGCTATAAATAGCACCTCTTGTATTGCATCACACACAATATCAATATATCATATTTTCTCCCGTGCCTTCTCACATATCGCAATAGGTTGATGGCTACCGCAAACATAATCAGATTATGATAAACCCGTTGGATACAGAAGATTCATGTTTTTGAACGCCAACTAGCTTGGGATTGAGACACAGTTGATTGATTAATTGACTGAACCAATTCACAAATTAAAGCATGAGGCATCACAAAAACAAGGACCAATCATCAAAACTTTATCTTGTTGAATATGAAAACTTCATATTTCTTAGGAATAGCCAACTCCTTTGTACTCATGCAGTTTGCATACCTGCTAGCTCCCACTAGCAACAGGTGACCCCATGGTTCTCAACCCACTTTATTGAACTAACCACTTATACTAGTTGCCGCTTGCATATTATACGGAATGCAAAGTAGATAGCACGTAAAAGTATTACAGAGCTTCAAAGGTCAACATTCCACAAAACTAGCCCAATTAAGAGCCAAATACTCAATTTTCAAGCAATAGTGTTTACCGTGAAAATGGTAATAACAATTAAATTTGATTTAATGGTTCTAAACGTACGTGATCAATTTTTATGCTAGTTGTTAGGCAATTGATGCTACGTGAAAGACTTAGAAACGAAATAAGAGCTTAAGAGCGAGGTGTTAATCAAACCGAATCACTATCAATCGGGGTCTCGAGCTTGCCTATTTGAGGGCCTCGGGGTCGAGTCTGAAGCTCGGCCGGGAGCTATCGAAGGTGGTCGATGGGGAATAACAGTTATAAACAAATCAAAGACGGCTTTTTATGGCTAATAATAAGCAATACATGATGAACAATAAATAGAACACAATAGATATAAGCAATAAATAAGGTAACGAAACCAAGAGAATGTGTTAGAGAGCAGAGAGAATGTTCTTGTATTTTTAGTATGGAACAACAAATGTTCACAAAATGACAAGGATCCCCTTTATATAAGAGGGGAAATCCCAACATAGTACAAATACATTAATTACAAAGATATGGGCTGGTACAACCATTTAATGTCTTGATTCGCTTTCCCGACTTGACCACTAGACCTGGCCAGCTATACGTACGTGCCTTGGGAACTTCACCCTGATCCGTCGAGACCGTTAATTTCATTGCCTCGAGACCTGTCAATTACTTATACTGTCGAAGTGGAACTGTCGAGAATTCTCGTAGTCGATTACTGGAAACCCTCGAGATGCCGTGAAATCGAGCCGTCGATTTCCACCATATGCAAATAGTATCATACAAACCCACTAAATCTACTTTATCTTATCAAAAGAGGAGTTGAATCCAAAAACCTAAATCATGTCTTTCCTTCCAGACGATAAATTACAAATACACACAAAACTTGGAAAGCAGATTACTCTTAGTCCAGCCAGAGCAAAGTAGTAGTAGTAGTAGTACCAATTTGAAAGCAGTATGTATTAAGTCAAAATGTAGTACCTCATGCAGTAGTAATAGTACTTTGATACAAAAGAAATGAGAAAAGTTAGAAAAACCTGAGAGGCAAAATCTTCGAGAATGCCGTCTTTACTGATACCATGTTCAAGGCATAGCTGTTTCCAGAACTCCATACCGATTTGATTCCCGCATTGTCCCACTTGCAATGTGATTATTTCTCGAGGCATTTTCCTTTGTCCCTTATTATACTCTTACTTGAACAGTAACTGCACCAGATTTTCGATCTGGTAGAGAGGAGAAGAGTAATCGACCTTTGGCTTTTACATATGTGCGAATTTTTTTTTTCTTTTTATGTTTTTTGAATTGAAAAAAAGAAGAGGGAAAAGGTGAGTCTTCGGAAATTATGAGCTCACTCTTTCTAGAGTTGAAGTGGCGGGGCGCGCCTGCCGGCTTAATTTTTGGATTTGATTTACATATGCAAATACTGTAGAAAAACAATACTCCTATGTAATATCAGTTTAGTTTAAGGTGTTATTGTTAAAAAAGTTTACTTTATTTTTTAAGAGACTATATAAATTTATTATAAATCATTACTTATTGTTGTAAATAATTTAATTTGATGATGTAAAAACAACTACTCCATACACTATGTAGTACACATAAAATTATTTTATTGAGGATACCATTTTTTTGAGAATTAATTTTCCTCCGTACCAAACATAATAATTTTGAACGTCTCTCTTCTTTGCATTGTTCTGTTAGATAGCTTCTTTTTTATTCAGCATTAGTTATTCTTTGTTTGGTTGTTTTTGTAAATATTTACATGTAGTTAGTGTTTCCATAAATTAATATATTTTACCATATACTAGTAATAAATGTTCTACCATTGATTTGATGTAAATGCGGGTAAATTGTTTATCCTTTTTACAATACCTGTATTAATTAAAACCAACATTACTTATTTTTATTTGGTATGTCCTATTTTGAGGTCCCATACATTTAAAGAAGAGTTAACACTCTCAAATTCTCTTAAACTATCATATTTTTGTCAGTTTTTTATTTAAATTATTTGGTGCCCTCAAAACCTCCCGGAACTATATTGCTCTTTATATTAAAATCACCCTCATCGCATTCTTAGAGGTGCATCTAGTACACGCTCCTAATTATCTAAAAAATGTGACATGTAGTCCTTATCCGCCTAAAATCCGGATAAGGACATGTAGTACATTACTCATCGCATTCTAGTACACATGGCTATTTAACTCAGCCTAAAATCCGCCTAAACTATCACTATTTTGTCAGTTACCTACTTAAATTATCTAATCTCCCTCCTCTCCCTGCCCCTAACTATATCCCCCTGTATATTAAAACTCATGTTGGACTTTTAAAGGTGCGTTTGTCTAACTATAATCACTTATGGTTTGTATAATTTTTTTATATAGTTTATTCATAATGTATTACTCTCGAATGAATGATTAACTCTAGCTAGGAGTTTTAGCCAAAATAATATATAACGTACTGTGTTAAATTTTACGTTTGATTGTGCTTTATGCTAGACTACAATTGAATAAGTCCTTATTTGTATTCACTTTGTAGCACATTAAAAATATAAATAAAGGCATATAATGCTGCATTTCTTAAAAATCATCTTATATTACATACAAAAGATTATACAACATATTTCACAAATAAAAAATCAATTGGCCAACAATTATATTCTCTAATTCCAGATTACATAAAGAAGTTTCATGAAGAGATTCAACTTTATTCTCTATTAGGTGCTAAGTTTAATAAGAAGATTTAAATTTGTATTCTTTCAACAATATATGTGATACATGAAAGAAGACTAAAACAAGAAAGAGAATAAATCATTTCAGAGGAAACAAGAGAGGGAGAAAAATTTTCAGAGGAAACCCATATGGAAAACTAAAGAAAAAAAGGTTAAAAACTGAAGAAGAAAGTGAAAAATAAAGAAGAAAGGTAAAAAAAATAAGGAAGAATGGTGTAAGAAAGAGGACGAAAAGTGGATAATATTAATGAAACAAGGAGAATATTTATTTAAAAAATCAATTTGAAAAAAGGTTAGGCTAATTAGCCATTATTTTCTATCAGGCGGTCAATTTTGATGGCTTTTTTCAGCTGCCACACGCTTCCAAGCTAGTATTTACACACGTTATGGCAGGTCAACAACGAGAGATTTTTAATATAAATGACAATATAGTTCAGGAGGATTTTGGGGACACTGAATAGTTTAAGTAGCAAACTTATAAATACTAGTCTTATAGTACGGGCGTTGCGCGTGTATTTCATACAATAAAGTCAAATTTTAGAAAAATTACATAGCTATTATTCACAAAAGTTCTGAATGATAAAAAAATTAAAAATCCAAATTCCTGAGAATTATGTTGTACGTTAATCACATTTATCTAACTCAATAAAAAAAATTCTGCTCTACAAATGTCACACCTCCTTTTTCACTACACCCCCGAAAGAGAGTATATAAGGGAGTTTTTTCCAACTTAAAGTGACAATCGAAATGGGATTATTTATTTATTAAACTCAGAGTCGCCACTTGGGATAATTTATGGTGTCCCAATTCACCGGTTCAAATCCCGAATCGAGGAAAGAATGACTCTGTTTAACAGTTCGCGAACCAGAAATCCGAGTAAGGAATTCTGTTAACCCAGGAGAAGGTGTTAGGCATTCCCGAGTTATGTGGTTCTAGCACGGTCGCTCAACTGTTATATTCGGCTTAATTATCTGATTTTAGTACATGTTCAAACCTATGTGCATTTTCAACCTTAACCGCTTTTATTCATTTTTAAGAAGATTGCAACGGTATTAAAACATGTCTCGAACCACGTCACATAAATGCACCCGTGGTCTTCGACATATTTTAACATTGTTGAGATTTTGGATTTGGGTCACATAAATGTGCACCCGAGTTTAGAAAAGTAAATTATTAACATAACGCGCTTAAAACAACTACGCATTTTTTTTAACTCTGCGAGGGCCATGGAAATTCAGTTAAATGGCACGCCTCGATTTCTAGAGGATTAAAGTTAATTAAGCGAGGGCCATGAAAATTCAGCTAAATGACACGTCTCGATTTCTAGAGGATTAAAGTTAATTAAGCAAGGGCCACACATTTTGAGATTTTTGTTTGGCGTGGCGCGCCTCAATTCCAAATTTAAGAAAAGGAATTCAACTGCATTTAGAGGGCCATAACTATTTGTATTATTTAATACGGCTCGCCTCAAACTATTTAAGAAGCTTAAACATCTAAACATTAATGGTGCAGAGATTCTATTATGATCTAAAATAAAAAGACCTCTTCAAAGAAAGGGCGGATTATTTAAAGGGCATTGCTTGGGCCTGGCTTGAGGCCCAACGTTCACAAGACAACAATCATAGACAAACCATTAGATATCCATCAGCTGAAATTACATGGAACTCGTAATTAAACTAACATTTCATTTTCTGAATCACTGAATATTTAAGTAAATTAACTAAAGCTGAATTTCTAAATTTCTAACGTGATTTGGGCCTGAGTCTGCCTTAGACTCATATGGCCCCTTTATTTGAAAAATAAGCATTGGCCCAGTAAAGCCCAAATCTTTGTCAAAGTCAAAACAGAGGCTCAAGACTCAGGGTCGAGCCCCAACCAGCCACAAGTCGTCAACTACACCCAACGAAGCAATGATAAACTTCAGACTTCCCTCGTTAGTTGGGATGTAAAGAAATTTCCAAAGATATTAAAATATATGCTCCACGTTAAAATACACTGGCAATAAAATCAACACTTATTTATGCTTGAATTCAAACCTAAAACTAACTTACGAACATGACTTGGAACCTCCAACCAATTAGTTCTTTCAAAATACCAAACAATAACAAATCTAAAGAACCATCATACAAATTACTTGGACTCCAAAATCATACTAAGATTTTCAACCTCATGGATTTGTTCTTTTACCAAATGAGTATGGAAAAGAAAACTGAAGCTAACAGGTAACTACTACATGGATTTCCCTATCACTCAAATCCAATCATGATACTAAACTTTCCAAGACATAATTTCAACTTTCACAATACATGACTAGCAGCAGAAGGAGCTTAAGTAACAAAATGTAATACAAGATTCACCATTACATGTTGAAAGAGTAGCGAAACAGATGAAGTAATTTCAAGCACAGAGGGATTCAGTGGGCAGGAAAAGAACTAAACTAAACTATGAACAACTGGTTTAATGTTGGGCTCCAAACTGTCATTTTTATTTCATTCTTCAAATCAAGCTTCACGCGAGGAGGTAGAATTCAGAAATCATGTACCTGAATATAAGAAGGAAGCAAAAAGAGATGAGGATTCAGTAAGCAGCAGCAACAAAACCTAGTTCTGATTTCCAGCAATGAAACAGCAACCCCGAAACCAAACAGCTTCAAATCAAGCTTTTAAATTCCCAGAATCAAACCATTTTTCCAACCCAAACAGCTTCAAAAATTCTAGCTGATAGGGAGGATCAGAAAACCTAAACCAAGCAGCATTTTAGCTATTTTCAACAGAGAAATGTGATGAATCTCAGTGTTTATTTAGAGTTTTTTCAAAAAATCAGCCGTTTCGGTCCTTTTTAGTGGTTTTAATCTCCTCCCCCATCTGTCTTGAATGCCAAGCAAAGGTGCCTTTATAGGCAAGGCATTAGGGCAACTTAAAGAAGTTAGATTTGCAATTTGACCCTTTTTACATTTTGGTTTTTACTTAAGAGTCCTTAGTGTAAAAATCAGATTTTCAATCTAGTCCCATTCCCCAGCTTCTAGGAAGCTTCCTATTCAATTGAATGAGATTCTTTCACCTAGATTTCCTAATTTACCCCTTAGGACCCCCGTTTTTTACCTTAAGAAACCGGACAGAGTATGGGACAAATTGATCCAAATCAATTTGGTATGGGTCTGTATACCGAGATCTTGGACTTCAAATTTTCAGGGTCCAAGTCCAATTGAATTATGACAAACCCAAATTACGAAATCAACAAACAAATTTTATCGGCCTAAATGACCTACCAAGTCATAAAGATTCATGAGGTCTTGGGCTCAATGAAAAAATAAAAGAAGTTCGAACCAATGAAGCTGTAATTTCACTATTGTTGTTGCTGCTACTGCTTACTGAACTCCTTATTACACCATGATAAAATAAAAGAAGCTAGACTAGACTATGATCTATGCATTACAAAATCCTATCTATATCTTCAAACTTGCTCTTGTGGTTCTTGTTGCCTTGTTGACTTGTGTTCTCTCGGTGGAATCCCTTTGTTACCGCCTTGAATTATAATTTGAGATGTTTTCCTTTTCTCCAAGTGGATGCCTGACTGCCAACTACACTTTGAGAAGTTTTCTTTTCTTCAGGTGGATGCTTGACTGCTGAACTTGAATGTATTCCC